TATTGCGGTCCTGAAAGAGATTTTATTTATCCGAATAAATAGCCGAAATATCGTAAGAAGCAAATATATTCAGTAAAATACAGTGGGGATAAGGAATTATACAAGTGTGATAAAATATATAAAATTATAATGGACTATGCCGAACTTACCTCAGAAAGCTCACGATAGATATATAAGAACAAAAGTAAGGTTTCACTAATAGAATCCTTCAACTTTGCTGCCCTTAATGGCTTTGTATAACATTCATTTACACTGACACTTACATTTCTGTAATAAAAAGATAAGAAATTGAGGTATACAATGTATTGAATCATTTATGTACTAATCGTAATTTAATTTTATGGAAAGAGTGAAAATAAAATTCAGGCATTCGTAAATAGAGTGAATGTAAAGTGTGAAAAATAATATAAAGTTAATACGTATATAATTTATACTATAATTTATAATATTCCAAATGGAAATATATAATTTGCATATTAAAGTTTGCATACAAGAATTAGACGAAATTTTCTGTAAAAAAGAATGTATCAATGGAACGTGTGCCCCTAAGGATTTATAAAATGTATGTTCTTTCTGTTCTTTTAATTATATTGATATAAAATATAGATGATTAAATATAATCCTTTCCTAGCAATTTCAACATTGCCTTGTAACAAATAAGACAATATTTTTTTGACCTTCAGACTGTTACAATCTGATTAACCAATTGAGAGGGTCAATGCAGCAGCAGGATGACCCTCAAGATCAGTTCAATAATGATACGGCGTAGAGGAAGTTGTATGTGTGTGTGTAATGCATAATAGCTAAAGCTATTCAGGTTAACAGGAGCCAAGCGAGAGTAAACTATTGAAAATGAAATATATTAAAAATTATATGTTACAAAGAGAAATTTGTTACAACTTTATTTGCAGTAATATATCGCAATAATTATTAAATTACAGTTGGTAATTGAAATTTTCGACTATGGACATATATTTGAAATATGCATTTCAATTTAAAAATCGTGATTATTTCGTTTTTGCTAATGTAATAAATCACTAAATATAATAGTCGCAAACTGCAAAATTCCCATTTTTTTCTATCATATATATATATATATAATTATATATGCAATTATTTATTAAAGTAGCTTTTAGGAATTTAAATAGTTTTTAGGAATTTTTTTTTTCATTACAGAGATATATATAAATTTTATATTTACCAGTATTTTAACTAATATTATTTTTATAGCAACATTGCTAAGATAAATAAATCATGATTAAAAGATTAACAGAAAAGTTACTCGATAATACCGATTTTTGTTTAACCGTCTTCCGAAACAACATTTATTATTTTTAAACAAAGAATCAATTATTGCCACACATTGAAACTGCATTGCAACATGTATCATGCAATAGTACTGTGAACACCAGTGCTTAGAGTGGTAATACTGGTGGAGAACCGCACATATAGTATTATAGGAAATGCTGTGAATGTAGATTACCTGATATAGTACTGCATAAGCTCTGCCAAAGAAGCCATACTTTTGTCTGCGTATATACATTTGCACATTTTCTTAAATTCTGAGACCCAGGGAAATAATTCTATAATTGTTGATTTTGCTTCGTCACTGTTTAGTTTAGATCCTCCTTCATTGTTAAACATTGTGTTTTTGATATCTAAACATCAATCAAAGTTTGCAAAATTTTTAGTAACATCACAGTCACACGACAAAACACGCAAGAAGAGAGAGAGAGAGAGAGCACGGAGCGTACGCGTATTTTAACACTAAAATATCGCACAATACACGCGGATGCCTGTAACTACACTGAGTTTCACTCAACAGAATATCGAATGTCTCCATCGCAAATAGAAATTTCGTGTTACGTTTCAGTGATTGCAGAAAATGCGCCTAAACCGGTTTCCCAGTGCGGACGGAATGCTGAATATTTTCCGCGCCGACGATAGCGTGTCCTTAAATGGGATCGGCATGGATTTATACGTAAAATCCCCCATAAAACGCAACTTGTTGGCATTGAAGAAAGAAACGTTCGAAACAACCGGCGATCGTTAACCGTTCTCGCACATACCTGACTCGAGCACGTTTTTAAAATTGCCTATCGCTTTCTTACAACCCTGACCATTCTTAACATCTGCCGCGACAGGTGCCGAGACCCATGCAGACTATCGAGTGTCCCCAAAAGACGGTTGTGTATTTCTGTAACGTTTCACAGCTGAACACCACGTTTCCCGGAGCCGTTTCATTGCGCGTGCCATGTGTGTGTACGTGTGTGTGTGTGTGTGTGTGTGTGCGTGTGTGCGCGCGCGCGCGGCGCACAGTCCCCGAAACGAGACGAACGAGTCTTCCAAACGTGCTTTCTCGGAGCCGGAGCGAGACGGGCTTACAAAAATGCCAGATAACCTGAGATTTCTGAATTAAAGGCACGTTAATATCGGCGCTACGTGATCGTGCGTGACGATCACCGGACGAAAACCGAGAATAGAAAATAGAGCATCGTCGCGAAGGAGAGCAGAGACACACCGGTACTAAAAATCCCGAGAGGACGTATCGATTGTCTTGTTGGAGGGTCGTCGAGCGACCGAGCGCGAATTCGTGGAACATTCACCGGAACGCGCGCGCACGTGTTCCTCCGTCGTAATTATATTCGGGGAAACGTGTGGGAAAAGGGGGAGAGCAGCGGAGTGCAACGTGCATCGTCTTTCAAGACGAAGAGCAGGCGAAGGGGCAGAAGAAGAGGCCGTGCAGCCTTTGAACAGCACGCGAGCAGCTCCGAGTCGTGGTGTGCACACGAGATTTTCCGTTTTTATTATCGTCCGAAGAGAGAGAGAGAGAGAGAGAGAACAAAGAGGCACGATCGCTTTCGCAGTCGACGCACCGCACACACGAATTCACACACTTGAAACGCGACACTCGAGAGTCTCATCTCGACATCATCGTCGTCGTCGAGCACTCACGCCATCGGCACCGAATTCCGTTGGATTTCGTCGTATGCACCAACGACCAGATGTAGACGAGCGAAGCACTCGGTTACGAGTGAGCGAGCGAGCGAGCGACACGCGCTCGCGAATGAGCGCGAGCGAGACAGCGACAGGCCACGCGGCTCTCGCGCGGTTGCACAGGACAACGCTGCCGAGCGTTCTTCGCGACGACGAGCGATAGTTGAATGACAACGGCGATAAAATCGGGATACGGCGAATCGATCGCGGCCGAGCTGGCCGCGCGCAGAGTCTCGCGTGGGTGTCGCATGAGACGCGCTCGTAAACACGACGACGACGAATCGTCCTTGTGAGAGGTCTCGCTCATCGGAATGCCGCGGAGGCTAATATCGACGTTCGTACGCTCAAGCGACGGAGAAGTTGCACCACGTACCTTGTACCGCACCGATCTGTTCGCCGCTCGCGGCAGCCGCCTCCGGCGCGGCGTAGTTCATTTTGCGGATACGTGCCGGGCGTGCGTTATACAGGTATTACGTAAAAGAGTCCCTCCCGGTCGTCAGTATACCTCATGTTAGGGGGATCGAACCGAGACTATCGCGTCCGCGTCTCTGCACGTACTGCGCTCACGTCAACGGCCATATTGACACTGACGCTTGGCGCAGCTACCGCGAGAGAGCGTGCCCTACACCCCACTGTCGCCACCGGCCACCACCGCGACTGGCGCTTCGATTCTTCCTTTTTTCCCCTCTCTCACTCGCTCGCTCGCTCGCTCGCTCACTCCCTCCCACTCTTCTTCCCTCCCTACCTCGCTCTCTCTCTCTCCCTCCCTCTCGTTATTTTTTTTTTCTATTATTCGGCATTTGTCACGATGCGTTCTGCCTCGTTACGATAACGACGGATCTCTCTCTCTCTCTCTTTCTTTCTCCTTCTCTCTCGCTCTATTTTCCCCTTTATCTCTCACTCGCTCTCTCCCCCTCCTCCCCCTCTCGTGCCCCCTATCCCTCCGTTCTCGTCTCGCCGCTAGATTTCTGCGACACGCGAGCACGTCGGCCTCGTACTGTCGCGAGGACGCGCGGCGTTGCCGCAGCTCGGCGGCGGTGGCGGTGACGGCGGCGGCGGCTATCGATGTCGGGCGCATTCGAAACTTCGATACTCGTCGCTCTCTGTCGCGCGCGCGCGCGCGCCGCGTCCCTTTCTCCGTTACTCTCTCGGGGGTTACTAGCGCCGGTGGCGCGGGGTTTCAGAAATGAATGGCTGATTCGTCGGCCGCCCAGGTAACCCGGCCAATGGAAGCGCGTTGCACGCGCGGCGCGCAAATCACGAACCGAGGACACCGTTATCCCTCCCCCGCGGCGGGCCCAATCAGATACGAGCAATTAAGTAATTGCGGCGTGCACGGGGCACACGCGCGGGAACGCGCGCGCTACAGCTAGACCTACCTAACTGGCCTACCATAGCCTATCTAGCCTAGACCCGCCGATGGTCCTCGATACCCGCTCGTAATTTTCGAGCGAACACCGAGCGGCACACAGCTCTCTCTCTCTCTCTCTCGTTTGAATAGGTATCGATACGCACTTCGGGAATATTAACATAGGCCGCAAGACTCGCGAGAATTCGGATGAACAGCGAGAGCGAGCTGCTCTCTACTATCGATGAAGCGGGGTCAACAGAGCATGTTTTGAAAACGCGCGCGCTCTCTCGCATAATCGGAACGGGTAAGTGTAAGTACACGAGCTTTCCCACCACCGCCGCAACCACCACCGTCCCTTCACCGCTGTTACTATCCCTACTATTACTATAACATGGTGTTGCTAATGTTACCTACTACGATCCTTGTACCTGTTAACCAGTAAGTAATTACCTATGAACCTGTTTATCGACGGTAACTTCTTTTCTATCGGAATAAGCATTGAGCTCTGTAGTATGCTGGAGTGAACCTTTCCGGTACTATATTAAACTGTAGAAACCTGCGGCCCGCCGGAGGAAAGGATAAGTAAACGGAAAAAGTTAGTCTTGAGTCAATATGATAGATAGATATATTCTCATATATACACAAGAATATTGTAACTTTCTTGAAAGATTTTTAGTCTTGATTTGATCGAATTAGTACTGACGCGAGTATTACTTGCACTCAATTCAAGAATAAAAATCTTCTAGAAATATCATAATGTTCTTGCTTTATACATGAGAATATTTATCATTGGTTTAAGACTATTTTTTTCTTTGTACTAGGGACAAAGATAAGGATACATCCAACATGTGTGCATTCTTTTCTGAATGGGATACTGGCTGATAGCTCACTCCAGTGCTACAGAGCTCAATAGGAGTACGGTACGCGTAACCAAAAAACACGATCGAGAATTATCATCTCGAAGGCGTTTCACGTATGCAAGTATGCAAAACGTGAAAAGAGTCGATTACGCGAGACCAACAAAAGTGACGTTTTTATTCATGTCATTAAGCTCGTTTTACGGTGGACGCGCGGGACTGCTCATACCGGTTATCCCGCACGAGGTTGCGCCGCCGTATTTGTACAGTAATTTCAATATCAAAGCGATATACCTGACTCGTGGGAGCACCGCCTTTATTACCGATTTTACATTTCGCCATGAGTGAGCCCGAGCGAAATATCCGCCGCTGTCCTTTGCAAATTTCAATTCCCGTTTATACAAGCCATTATAACCTCAACAATTTTGCGCCAGTATTTCTGTCTGAAAATGTTTCAAAGAATCCCCGCCACTGGAATGATCCCCTGCGCTCTTGGGATATATATATCGCACGCCGTGCTCGCGATTTGAGAGCGATGCACGCGCGGAATATTCATACGTTTCGCGGGTCCGGCGAATGGCGTCGTGGCGCGGCGCGCCGCACGATTCGCATCGATCCGCCTGCGGATCCTCGCGTTCGCCCGGACCCGACACGTGCGCGCCGCCTCGTATCCCCCCGACGCGCACGTGTAGACGTTTGATGGATGTACCGAGAAGTATACGCGCGTCGAATATTCGCAATTTGAGCGCCGGGGCGAACGCCGTTGCCCGATGTCGTTTGTCATTCCCGTCGATCCCGCTCTCGCGCGAATATTAAGCTATGTGTCGACTTGCGAGTAAAAATCCCTCTCCCCCCCACCCCCACCCGCCGGGGTTCACTGTCGACGGCGACCTGCACCTGCACACACGACGGCACCGGTTAGTGTCGCGCGCCGCGCGAACGTATTCGTTTTAATTCCGGAGCAAATAAATCTGCTGGAGAACGGCTCGCGCGAAAACCGTCGTTCCGACGGGACGATTTTTAATATGATACGGTCGCGACATCGGCCCGGATATTATTTCACTGCACGCGTTGTTTTGCAACCGGTACTCGCTTTTCCGGATGCACGTTGTCGTCCCCTGCCTCCTTGCTCGCAAGCGCTCGGGAGGCATTGCATTTTAGATTAGAACAAATGTGCTTGATCTCGAGATTGAAATGAGAGTATCGGATATTGTCCGGGAATGCAGCAAATGAATGTAATCGGGAGACATCATGCCGCGTGCGATAGCGCGACGCGGAATTAAAAGTGCGAGGCTCGCTTTCATGCGATGTCGAACGCCCCTTCTACCTGAATAGATTTTCACGTGTGCGACGAGCCGAAAGCTCGCGTTGCGAAATTCGAGATCATTGATCGAATCGTATTTTCGGCCGATGCGATAACGCAGATACGATCACACGATGGAATTTGTTTAAAGGGTTCTCATTTCTTTTTCTTAATGATAACAATCAAATGGTACTTAGCGAAGTATCTCGAGTTCTTGTATTTATTGATTTATATTTATATGTTCATTGGTAAAATTTCCGTTTAAACGTAACTTGTTGTTGATAATTAGTATTAATAATTTTCTCGCTGTTTTATAAGATGACGTTCACGAGAAGGAATGCATTTTCCTCCCAAAAAACTGCTCTTTCTCGTTTGATAAAATCAGGAAGTACGGATAAGTGCACCTGTTTGCAAACACTTTACGACATATGTTTCCTCGTATATTTGAACCTCTCTTATTTATTATCGAGATCGCATTCGACGTAAGCGGGATGAGAATTTCAGAGCTGTACTAGGTGCCGAACGTACATGTCATGCACGTACGGAAATGTCACGTAATAAGGTCAGATGGGCAAATCTTGTTTGTAAGCTGCAGTACGTATTTCGTTTTTGAATATGTGCAGCACTCGTCTCGAAATGTTCCTCGAAAACGCGAAGGAAAAATCTCTATGTACGTGTAATACACATGTGTATATGTGTGTGTGCGCGCGTGTTCGATCCTCGTCTCGTAATCTAAACGTATTCCTATCTCTTCGAACATCAAAGGTCAAAGGTCGGAAAATTAGTACGCCGGAGCGTTCGAGCGGAGTGTTAAATATTGAGAAATTGCCAGATGCACGGAAACGGATGATATAACGCATAACGGGAAGTCCTCGCGTGTCGAATGCCACGCATTTTTATGCCTCAATATTTCGATATTGGGCTTTTTTACAGTTTCGGCGAGAGAGTGGCCGTTATCCCTCTCTGCTCGTCTCCGCTACCGCGGCAAGATAGATAGACAGGGTAATTGCAATGCCGCGTCATACTGCTTACGCGTATAAAGAGCTTGTTTACCTAGCGAACAGCTACGGGGAGGACCGACATTCCTCGTTTTAGCGGCGCACTTTGAAAATATCACTCAAGAGCCATAAGCGTCTCAGACTATCCGCTTTAGTAACGTCGCCGTTCATATTAAGCGAAACGCCAGGCGCTTTTCATCTTGCCACGGAGCAATTCAGAAAAGTCGGTCGACGGAACGGTATAATTGCGAGAACGTAGCCGCGTTGCATNCCCCCCCCCCCCCCGTACCATCCGTTAGATATAATTAATAGATCGAATTTTTCTTCGGGTCAACATGCAGTTCTCCACTTTGAGGAGACACATGGTCTTTTTAGCCGAACTGTTCTCTAAGACGCAATGCAGTGTATTATCATTGAGAAGCAGCCAATAGTCACTAATGATTCTAGTTATTCTAGCTATAAGTATAGCACTGTAAATCACTGTAAAATTTCGCTGCAAAAGTTAATAGCAGCAACTGTTCCCATCAGAGAAATCTAACTGCAGATACAATGAAAAGAGATATCATTTATTACTTCTTCTTTATTATATCAATCCTACGCTTAAAGTATTGTTAATGATTTCATCGGAAATATTCTTATAATTATTTTTAATTGATTTAATTTATATCGTATTTGGAAAATACGCTTATCCTGAGAGGACTTGTACTTGAAATCTCCAGTTCTTGAGCTCTGCTACCGTACGAACTACACCAAATACGACATATGGTTGACGCGTAACAACGATTTCCCGCTGTATGGAAGCGTTTCCGCGAAAAATTAATGAACACTCACCGATTATCGGTAGAATACTGTTTCACTGGCTCAACTTAAGAGCTGGCTGCACTAGTTCGAGAAATTGACGTACACATTGAAACATATGGCGCGTACGTACGAGATCCTCACTCTTCAATGTGCATAAATTTCTTGAACTGCTGCAGGCAGTTCAGCTAGAAAGTACAGACCAACAGATACGCACATATTCGCATACGAGATGCGCACATTACCCAATCCGTGCGTCGCAAGCACTGTCGAAGCGGCCGCGTGTGACGTCTACGATGTAACTAATAACGCGCTCGATCTTGCGTTGTAATTGCGCAACGAACATCTCGACCTCGGTTATTTCGAGCGCACGTTTCCTGCGAAATGTTGGCGAGTGATATTTATTTGTCTAACAGGAGAACGTATTCAAAGCGAGGACGCGGAACGACGAAAAACGTTCCCACCGAATGCGCCATACGCGCTAAAAACCGTTTACGTAACGCCTTTAATCGGAATATGATGATTGATCGATGCGATTCAGACGGAGCTTCCAATCTTCGTACGAAAAATTAACCTTCCTGAAGGCATGTAACCGTGCGCGATCGCGCAGCATAAAGTAGCCGGCGGTCTTTCCAAAAGCAATTACTGGAAGCAATTTGCTCGTACTTTCAGGGGAGCACTGTAAATTAGCCGCGGCGAGAGTACCGGCGTCGCATGTGACGTGCACGGTACACGTAATTTCCTCGTCGATTATGTTCCAGCAACATAACAGCGCTTCTGTCAGTTTCCTGCCCAGGCGCGCAGCCACGGTACGAAATCGCCATCGGTCTGGTTGAAGAAGGCCGCCGGAAGCGCCGTGGAAAAGGGCCGGAAGTATCCTCCCGGCGCGGGAAAGACCAGACCTACGACATCCCTCAAAGGACCATCGTTGCCTCCCCTCCTCTCCCCTCTCCCTGTACCCCCGCACCTCTCGGCGAGCTCGTTACCGCCGAGCCGTGTCGTGAAGTATAGCACCACAAAGCGAGGTACAACTCTCGACCGCACGCGGTCCGCTCGACAAGCGCGTCCCTAGTAACGCCGCTCCGAGCATCTCGTGTGTGTCGTCAAACATCAACGACGTCGGCAATCATGACGACGACGAGGACGACGAGGATCAACAACAGCGACCACCGACTCCCACGCCAGATCCCATCGACCTTTCGAAGTTCACAGGAAGCGCTGCGCACGTCCTACGTATGGTCCCACGTATAGCGTGTACAGGCCGAATGGCCGTTTTACTCGAGGTAGAAAGGACGAGAAAGAGAGCGAAAAGGTCGGGATGGCAACGAAGCGAGCGAAAGAGAGGGATCGTGTCTATCGATGTTCCGAGATTCGACGATCCTCCAAAGAGCGTACGACGACTTCAGGTATACACAAAAGCGGCCCTACCGTTGAGACAAGATTAAAAGAAAAGGCGTATACAGCATTCTCGTCTGAAAGGAGTCGAGGGGGAAGAAAGATAGTGAGAGAAAGAGGGAAGGAAAGGGGAGGGGGGAGGGAGAGAGACGCTGCGGAAAGACAGGGATAGAAAAGCACTCGCGTACACCGCCTCTCGTCGCGCTTGCGCTTTCTGTCGGAAAGCTCGGCTCGTTCTCTCGGTCCTCGTCGGTCGTAGCCGCGATCCTCCGTTCCGCCGGTGTCGCCCACCTCGAGCTCAGTGAGCCGGTGTGTGAGCGCCGCGACGCCTAGAACAGCACTGTCGTCGTCGGACGTCGTTGTCCTCATCGGCGTGGATTTGGCGACGGTCCCACGTTTCTCTCGTCGTCATTCTCGTCGTCATCGTCGTTGTGGTCATTCTCGATCGAGCGCCGTTGTCTGTCTTCGTCGTTCTCGTGATCATCGTCGTCGTCGTCGTCGTCTCGTTGCTCTCGATCGTATACCACGGTGGTGCTGGCACATACACGGAGGCACGCGACTTCCTCGAGCGATTCCGTGCGCGAGTCGCAGTCGGCGCGGGAAGAGAGAGAGACAGACGAGTGCAGTACTACCCCTTCCCCCTCCTCTTACTTCGTCCAATCTGTCTCTCCTGCTTCTTCCCTCGTCCTCCTCCCATTCTCTCTCTCTCTCACACACACACACACTATCTGTCTCTCTTTCTCCCTCTGTCTCTTCCACTGTGTATGCACTCGTTCTCCGCACCCCTTGCCGTTGCCACCGTCGTCCTCTCTCGTTCTCACGATCACGCTCGCCCTTCGTACAATCCGACGCTACGCTGCCCTCGCACCCTGCACCAAGGCTCAGCCGCCGTCTATCGTTGCCGTTTTCTCCTCACGTTGGCTCACGTGCTGCATTACACGACACACGGCGTTTTCGATCTTTACATCCTGCGAGTTCTCCCGTCCGCTCCGACCTCTGGACGGCGAGAGACGACGATCGCGCAGCAGCAGGGGCGAGTGAAACAGCGACTGGAGAGTAAGAGGGATAGATAGATAGATAGAGATAGAGAGAGAAAGTGTGTGTGTATGAAAGAGGGAGAGAGAAAGAAAAGAGGACCGGGAAACGCGGGGCGCGGAAGAGGACGAAGGATATGTAGACACCGTGGCGTCGTGCCTGTCGTGTCCACAGGACCTCCGAGGTGGACGTTCGTGTAAGAAAATGTACTCGCGTGACGGTCCTTAAACCTCGCTTCGGGCGTGCATT